TTGTTCTCTCATTGCCATTTCTTTTTGTTATTATCATTTGCCATTTCCTTTGTTCTCTCATTTGCCATTTCTTTTGCATTTCATTTCTTTTGTTATTATTATTTGTCTTTTTTTTCTCTCATTTTGCCATTTCTTTGTTATTATCATTTGCCATTTCTTTTGCCATTCTTTTTATTATCATTTGCCATTTCCTTTTTCTCTCATTTGCCATTTCCTTTGTTATTATCATTTGCCATTTCTTTTGTTATTATCATTTGTCTTTTTTTCTCTCATTTCCTCATTTGCCATTTCTTTTGTTATTATCATTTGCCATTTCTTTTGTTCCTCTCATTTTCCATTTCTTTGTTATTATATTGTCTTTTCTTTTATTTCCTTTGTTATATCATTTGCCATTTTCTTTTGTTATTATCAATTTGCCATTTCTTTGTTATTATCATTTGCCATTTCTTTTGTTATTATTTGCTTTGTTATTATCATTTGCCATTTCTTTGTTATTATTCATTTTGCCATTTCTTTGTATCATTGCCATCTTTTGTTATTATTTGCCATTTCCATTGTCTTTTTTTCTCTCATTTTGCCATTTCCTTTGTATTATCATTGCCATTTCTTTTGTTATTATCATTTGCCATTTCTTTTGTATTATCATTTTGCCATTTCCTTTTATTATCATTGCCATTTCTTTTTTATTATCATTTGTCTTTTTTTTCTCTCATTGCCCATTTCCTTTGTTTTATCATTTGCCATTTTCCTTTGTTATTATCATTTGCCATTTCCTTTGTTATTATCATTTGTGCCATTTCCTTTGTTCTCTCATTTGCCATTTCTTTTGTTATTATCATTTGCCATTTCTTTTGTGATTATCATTTGCCATTTCCTTTGTTCTCTCATTTGCCATTTCTTTTGTTATTATCATTTGCCATTTCTATTATCATTTCCATTTCTTTATTATCATTTGCCATTTCCTTTGTTCTCTCATTTGCCATTCTTTTGTTATTATCATTTGCCATTTCTTTTGTGATTATCATTTGCCATTTCCTTTATTCTCTCATTTGCCATTTCTTTTGTTATTATCATTTGCCATTTCTTTTGTTCTCTCATTTGCCATTTCTTTTGTCATTATCACTTGCCATTTCTTTGGTTCTCTCATTTGCCATTTCTTTTGTAATTATCATTTGCCACTTCCTTTGTTATTATCATTGCCATTTCCCTATGTTCTCTCATTTGCCATTCTTTATTATCACTTGCCATTTCCTTTGTTCTCTCATTTTTCTTTTCCTTTGTTATCTCATTTTTCTTTTCCTTTGTTCTCTCATTTCCCTTTTCCTCCAGATGAAGAATTCGGCGAGAAGAGCGTGTCGGTGCTGCTCGACGGCGACGAAAATGAGGTCACCTTCATAGACCATCCGGCGCACGAGATGTCGGTGGGTCTGTCTGCGCTCTTGTCGATATGTCTGGGTCTGTCTTGTCTTGTCTGCGAGTCTGTCGGTCTGTCTGTGTTGTGGTCTTTGTGTCTGTTAAGTCTGTCGGTCTGTCTGTGTTGTAGTCTTTGTCTGTGAGTCTTGTCGGTCTGTCTGTGTTGTAGTCTTTATGTCTGAGAGTCTGTCAGTCTGTCTGTGTTGTAGTCTTTATGTCTGAGAGTCTGTTCAGTCTGTCTTGTTAGTAGTCTTTATGTCTGCGAGTCTGTCAGTCTGTCTGTGTTGTAGTCTTTTCTGTCTGAGAGTCTGTCGTCTGTCTGTGTTGTGTCTTTATGTCTGGGAGTCTGTCAGTCTGTCGTGTTGTAGTTTTATGTCTGAGAGTCTGTCGGTCTGTCTGTGTTGTGGTCTTTATGTCTGAGAGTCTGTCAGTCTGTCTGTGTTGTAGTCTTTATGTCTGCGAGTCTGGTCAGTCTGTCTGTGTTGTAGTCTTTATGTCTGAGAGGTCTGTCAGTATGTCTGCGAATCTGTCGGTCTGTCTGTGTTGTAGTCTTTGTGTCTGTAAGTCTGTCGGTCTTGTTTGCGAGTCTGTCGGTCTGTCTGTGTTGTGGTCTTTATGTCTGTAAGTCTGTCGGTCTTGTCTGCGAGTTTCTGTCAGTCATGTCTGTGTCTTGTAGTCTTTATGTCTGTAAAGTCTGTCGGTTGTCCGTGGGTTGTAGTTCTTTAGTCTGAGAGTCTGTCATCTGTACTGTAGTCTTTATGTCTGAGAGTCTGTCAGTCTGTCTTTACTGTAGTCTTTATGTCTGTAAGTCTGTCAGTCTGGTCTGTGTTGTAGTCTTTATCTGTAAGTCTGTCGGTCTGTCTGGGTTGTAGTCTTTATGTCTGAGAGTCTGTCAGTCTGTCTGTACTGTAGTCTTTTATATGTCTGCGAGTCTGTCAGTCTGTCTGTGCTGTAGTCTTTATGTCTGCGAGTCTGTCAGTCTTCTCTGTGCTGTAGTCTTTATGTCTGAGAGTCTGTACCAGTTTATTCTGTTACTGAAAGGGGGTAGTGTCTTTAGGCAGAGTTCAGTCTGGCGTCTTATGTCTGAGAGTCTTGTCAGTCTGTCTGTGTGTGTAGTCTTCTATGAGTATCTGAGAGTCTGTCCCAAGTCCTCGTATGCATTGTCGGGTGTTGTCTTTTGCTCTTATCGATGATGTCTGAGTTCTTCAATATTGAAACTTACATTGTCTGTGTCAAGTGTTTATGTACAAATCCTCATGATGCTGGCAAGTTTGTCAGTCTCGTTTGCATGTCGGTAAGTCTGTCTGTGCTCTTATTGATATGTCTGAGAGTCTGTCAGTCTGTCTGTGTCCAAGTCTTTATGTCTGAAAGTCTGTCTGTCTTCTTGTCTTTATGGCTGTCAGGCGTTCTTTCTGTTTGTGTCTCAGTATGAGTGTTTGTTTTGTTCTTCCTCCTGTTTTTTTATGTCAATTTGTTGTGTGCAAGTTTGACCGCTTCCCTGCCTGTAGGTCTGTTTACACTCAAATCGATAAGTCTGAAAGTCTGTCAATCTTGTTTGCGTCTGTAAGTTTGTCTGCGTTCCAGTCTTTATGTCTGCAAGATTGTGTTTTGTCTGTTAGTTTGTTAATTTGTCAGTCTCGTGTCTGTAACCTCAGTCAGTCTGTCCTTCCTCTTGTCTTTGTGAGTCCGTTGGTTTTTCTTTTTATCTGTCTGTCTATGTCTATTTGCCTGTCCTCATAGTATATGGTCTGTAGGCTGTCTGTGCTTTCGCTGTTTTATGTCTGTAAGTCAATCAGTCTCTCCTTACCTTCGTATCATGATGCTACTAATCTAATGGCTATGCTCAATTATTCTTCCTGTCTATCTGTCTGTATCACTGTGCTCTTATATAGGCAGCCAAAAATCTTGTCTATGATTTAATGCTCGTGTTTTATTAGGGCTACACTCACCTAGTCAGGTATCTGCCACGCGGCGATGTCACTGATCTACTGTCTGCGTCTGAGTAATGTCATTGTACAGATATGCGATATATATGTTTTGCCAGGTATACCTGAAGACCAGTATACGGATTTGACAGGTGAGCTTCATCAACACCAACCACCATACTGACCAGTGTTATCGAAGTATGGAATCAAACACGTTCATTTAACTGCGCTCATTGTTTAATCATGTTAACTTGACGATGAATGCCACCCGCAGCAGGATGTAGTCTTGATTGAGGGAAATTGCCATTGTGTTCTGAGGACACGGCTTGCGAAATTCAGGTATTAATGATTCAGGTGCGTGTGATATGATCATATATCGAGGGCGTGAGCAGTATATTCGACTGATGTTGCTCTCCTCAGTCTGCGTCCAATTCTTCCTTCTGTATGTTGCTCTGTCTGTTAAAAATTTTATTCTTGTCTTCTTATGATATTAGACCCACCTGTCTGTCGTCTGCCTGTCTGCTCTCTTACTTACTCTCTCTCTCCCAATCTCTTCTCTCTGCCTGCGTAATCAATTTCCTCGTTCTCTCTACTTCATCTGCTGCGTGCCTTTCTCTCATCTCTCCTACTCTGTATTGGGTCCTCTCTCCTCTACAACGTCATGTGGTGCGCCCCCTCCTGGAAGGAGGATTTAAACCCTCTTTATCGCCTCCTGTCCTCACCTTTCACTTGTCAATCGTCTCAACCCTATCCACCTACTCCAGGCATACATCTACCATTACCATCATCTCACATCATCTTGTGTATCTCACCCTCTAAGCGCGTAGCACCTGACTGCCTCCGTGTTCTCTGCCTTTAGGCTCAGCAATCTCGTACTTATTTAATCCCACCTTACACTGCCTGCGGTCCCTGTACCCTCCACACGTCCGCTCCACTTAAGTCCTCTCACATTCACCATTGCACCCTCTCCTCCCTCACTCACACCACCCTACTCTCTACAACGCCCCGGATTCCCCGCGTGTTACCCTCCCTCTTTTGCCCACAACTAGCCATCGCGCGCCTCCCTCCTCCAGCACGCCCTCCCTCACTCACCCTACCCGTGCCCTCCCTCATCCCGCAGTCGAGTAAACGCACATGGCTCACGTAACGAGACGCACCGGGAGCGATCGGAATGCATTCGGTCATCTACGTTGCCATATCACGGACAAACGGTTCCTTCAAGAAAGCCGGAGGACATCCTGAAGCGTACTAGAATAGTTAGCGGAGGTTAAAGAGAAAAGAGAACTAACAATCAAGGAGAAGGCGGTGATCCTCGTGGGGAATAGAACGTCGACCACTTCGACTGCGAAATCCATTGGGTGAAACTGGTCATTACAGCGAGGAAGGTTAGTGATTGTTAGTGGGCGCTGCCGAAGAAGGGAGAAGATAAACCTTCCAAGCCCACCAGCGTGGATGGAGGCGGGATGGCGGGAATGGTAGGGGAAATTGCGGGTCTAGGTGGTTGGCGGGTTTTCGAATTACATGTTGTGGGGGGCACGGAAGGTTTGGAAACGTTCCGGCGGTCGGTACGGTGAGTGCTGGTGCGGGGAGTGACTGGTTGTTGCGAGAGCACCGGGTGGAAACGCCCTCTTAGTCGTGGTGGGGCCCGCACGGACTGCGGGCGGTGGGAGAGTGGTTGTACGAGGAAGGAAGAGAACAAAAGCAGTGGGTAATTATTCCCTATTTTTCTTTTTGTGGGTTTTGATTTCCATATTCTCTCGTTTTTTTTTAGTTTGTTTTGTTATTCTTTGTTGACTCTACTTTACATATATTTCTTTATTGTAATATTGATTCTCTCTCTTCTCTCTTCTCTTCTTCTCTCCTATATATGTCTTCGTGACTTTCTTATGTTATGTTTCAATTTTAATATATTCCAAGCTTATTAACTTTATTTTCCTCAGTTATATATAACTATTATACTATATATATATATAATTATATATATATATATATATATATTATATATATGTGTGTGTGTGATACTGTGTGTGTGTGGTTTTGCTGTGTGTGTGTGTGTGAAATAAGATGTGTGATGGTGTGTGTGGTGGTGTTTGTGTGCTATGTAGTGTGGTGTTAGTGGAGTGTGTGCGAGTGACGCTCATCAAAAATATTGTGTGTGTGTGTCTTTGTTGTATGCATGTTTTTTCGCTATGTGCTGTGTTTTTGTGTTTGTGTGTAGTTGATCGATGTGTAATGTGTTGTTAGTTGTGTATGTGTGTGCTGTTGGTGTAAAGCTGAATGTGTATGTGTTAGCGGTTTTGTTTGCCTTGTTATTTATATGATTCAATTAAAACTCATGACATTATTATAAATAGGGCTGCATCTGACATATCATTACGATGAGGAAATATTAAACCTTGTGGTTGTAGTGTTGATGTGTTGTGCTAGAGATGTGTGTTCTGGACTTGGTTTGTGTGTGTGTTGTGTGTGTGCTGCTAGCGTGCTGATGGTGTGTAATTTGATGTAATTTACAGATCTTCAACTTGCGTTGAGCGTGTTTCAACTATTATATGACATTAATTTTCAAAGAGCATTCTTCCACTTACTAATGATTTCGTTTCTTACGGGCACAGAATGGATTATATGTAATATATCGATTCTGCCAATGTTTTTTTCTTTGAATATATTTGAATAATCGAGATAATGTACATGCTTGGTTAGAGCCTTATTCATTCAAACAAAATAAAATAAAAATAAAAAATAACAAAAAATCGAAAAGACCTTTCTGGATATCCCAAATAAATAGCCCAGGTATAACATAGCAACGCCATTAATAAACGAAGAACCTAAACTCCACCACGGTCGGACATCTATACGGCACAACCTCAAAAAAGCACAACACAAATTAATAACTATAAACCGAAGCCTCCACTAAGGGAAATCAGCAGTAATGTGAATGAGCTTGCCTACGCCCACAAGTGTGCAGACGAAGTAGATAGCTCTGTCTGCATGAAATTTCTTTTGCACCTAACAAGAATAGTCGACTCTGATCACACGTGTTACCTGAACATAACATGAGCATGATCTTTATTATATAAATTACCAATCGAGTCAATCTCTTTCTGGATACACTACACAACGCCACTCCATGTCTGGCGCTGTGACAGTTAAACTAGTTAGGAGCACAAACTTTCCACCGAAGCATCCACAGAGACATCGAGGTTCTCTCTATGTACGGTCACTAACAACCATCAACCCATGAGTTATTACCTCCTTCTATATCACCCAACTCTTCATCGACGCACAAAGGTTTAACACCCCTCATGAAGAGTTATGACAGTGTTAACCATTTAGTCCCGACACCCTCGTAAATAAAATCCACAGAAACTTCACTGATGTCACTGCCGCTGTAGTCTTGTAGTGAGTCCGCCTATGATTTGACAAACAATACTATTCTTGATATTACAGAGAATGCTTGATCGTTGTTCTAATTGACGTCATCAAATCCTGGGACTTTCACCGGCACTGTTCGCGGGAAAATAATAACTGATACACTCTCACACGAGAGAAAAATCGAAAATGAAAATAGATTTAAGAGCGTAATTAACTATCATATTCTCCTTTCTTTTTCTATTTACTCTATATTCCCGAGTCATGTGTTTTGCCGATGGAGCTAATATTCTACCCTATCATTGCTAAAAACTTATTCATTTTTACTCTTCACTATATAATGTCCCTATCATTGACCTCTTTCAATAATGCATCCTCTCCCCTCAATAATTTTTCAACACACACAAAACGGAAATTATTAGATCCGTAATAATCAAAGCGCATGCTATAATCACGGGAAAAATAGCACCCAGCGCAGTCGACTCGTGAACGAATTTAGTCTTTTCGGTGTGCACTAAGGTAACTAGGGCCAGGTGACGATAGAGAGAAGGGTGAAAGAAAGCATTAGTAACTTAGGGTGGAATAATCCGCGTTGAAAAAAGCTATTCTGCTTTTTCACTTTTCTCTTCACTTCACTTTTTTTTTGTTCTATTTTTATTTTCATGGATGTCGTGTGGTGTATGTTTTTTAAGGTGTATTGAGTAGGACAAAAAATAAATCTATAGTATAGTGATGTAATATTATATTATATATGTGTTGTAATTAAAAAGAAAAAACAACAAGCTGTGTGTGTGTTATTGTGTGTGTGTGTGTGTATGTTACATAAATATAATTATTACCCATAGTTATATTAATATACAAATATAGTTTCACCACATAAAAAATAGTTAAAAATCTAATATTATAATGTTATGTATAAAATTAAGCATATATATATAGTACAAATTAATTAAATGATGTCATATTATAATATTGCTTCCTGTGTTGTGTTGGTATAAAAAGTCAAAGGCAAAGATGTGTTGTGTTGTGAGTTTTGCTTATGGAACTATAATTAGATATGTAATATATATAAGTGTAGATAGTATATCAGGGATAAATATATATATAATTATATATAATCATACTAATAATTAATACTTAATCTAAAGTCGGCTAAATCATAAAATTAAAAAATACGCTAGTAATATAAATACAAAAATAATTCCTTATTTTATTATGTGTGTGATTACCGTGTTAACTGGTCACACTATATAAATAATAATAATAGTATATATATATGTACCCTATACCATAATATATAATAATATATATTATCTGAACCTTGTATAGCTACATATAGCACAGGGTATTATAGTCAATTAGATATACTTAGCAAGCTATATATGCGTATATAAATTATAGTATTAACATTTATTTCTATAATATATATATATATATACATAATACTCCCACACATAATAATAATCCCTTTATGGAATAAATTCTAATATTTATATATGCACCTATAATCTCAAGTATTCATATAAATGCCTATTATAATACTAAATTATTATCTATATATGTATGGATGAAAATAAACATATATATAACTACTAAATATATAAAAAAACAATAAGTGAATAATAAGGTAATATTTCACATAAATATAAAGTGATCTAAGTTTAATAAAACAAATATAAACTTATAGATACTAATTAGTAAGTAAATTAAATTTAACTACCATAAATTATCAAAAAGTAATAGTTCACTATATATATATAGAATATGTGCCTCGTGCTAGTGTGTAGTGTGTGTGTGTGTGTGTGATTGTCCCTTGTGTGAGTTGTGTTGCAGTAAATTATATAAATACCACACACACACACACATACACACACACACCCACACACACAAACACTACACACCACACACAACCACACACATAATATGTAATATCAATATTATATATACATATATATACATCTTTATTTAAGAAATAAATGACTATACTTATACAATAATACTTATAAATAAAAAGACTATAAAAATTCTATTTCTAATCCTTATTTATTGTAAGTACTACTTAATTATTTTACCAAATTAATATATATATACATTAAGCATAATTTATAATATTAGGATATTTTATACCATGGCACCCACCCCAGTACTACACCAAAAACTGCATTATTTATAATGTTTATATACATATAGTATACTTATATATTATATATATAATAATATATGCCATTCCTAACAAAGATTACTTATGTAATATAGACATATAAAACATAATATATATTATATATAATGGAATAACAGGTATGTGATATAAAAAAATTATTTGAGTCCATTAATGAAATCTCAAAACTGTTTTCATTACAGTCAAGCTTTCATTATAGTACTATATATGATATCTTAATTATATAGATATAGTACATTATACTAATGAATATATAAGTATATTATACAATAAATATATAATGGTAATTGAATAAATCTGTATCCCCAAGCCTATAAAGTCAATTAATCCAATGATAATATTAATTATAGTTATACCTATTAATTTAGTAAACTTTAATATCACTGTTTAGATAAGATACTTCAATAACTTATATAAGGGAGCAATATCTAATAGAGCATGTCAACGTACATATATTGTAATATGCATATTTCCCATATATATATCCGTATTTGATAAAATTAATACGTATACCAGATATTTATTATATAATATTTTTTAATAAACAATATAGATATAATATGAGTCTACTGTTTTATATATGTATATATTTATATATATATATATAAATAGATAATTAAACAAGTCTATTCAATATTAATTATATATCATAATATAATCCTATTATAAAATCAATATAGAGCATACAGATAATGTCTAATATATTATTTCCATTATAGTTATAGTATAAGAATATATATTAACTAAGAAAAATAATTATTATAATCTATTATAGGAATAATTATACAATACAGAGAGAGAGAGAGAGGAAGAGAGAAGTAAAAAAAGGAAGTATAACAACCATAACCATAAGGAAGAATCACCAGAAAGAGAGAAGAGAGGAGAGAGTAAACATATATTAAATATCCAGATTCTTCGAACAGCAATCCCATATAAATTATAAGTGAAAATTCAATGGGCAAAAAGAAAGTGCTGAGATGGATGGGATTCCACATAGTTAGAATTTGAAGTAGTTAGAAAGAACGACTCAAAACAGAAGTAAGACGCTCCGAAGAGATTTGAGCCAACAAAAAGAAGATGAATGAAGGCGAGAGAGGCAGCGTACTAAGCCCACAAATAAAACATCAAGCTTTGTTCGTCAGAAGGAACATTATCATTGAAGATGAGAATATGATAGTGGTTTTGAGAGCATAAGCAGAGAACGTAGACAATAAGATTTTGCCATACCGAGAGAGAGAGGACTGCAGTATGACGACGAGAGAAGTAGCGATGAGATTAAAAACCTAAAAAAGAGTATAGGAGAGAATATGAGAGCGAGAGTAGTGAAGCAGAGAGAGACGAGAGAACGCAGATAGCGTTTAGGGGAGAGCGACCGAAGAGATTAAGACAGATGCGAGAGAGCGATAATATATAAAAAAAAAGATATACATTTCAACCTTAAAGGCACGTTAAAATATCGATGTATTATGAGCATCGTTTGTTATTGTGTGCATGTAGTGTTGTTAAACGATTTCTATTTGTTTATAATATAAATATACTACATATACATCACCATAATGTAAAGTTTATATATATAATTAGTGGCAAATCTCATATAATAATAATTATATATATGATAGGTATGTAGACTATCTATTACCAATAATATTATCTATATAGTGATAATATTATATATTATTGATACAAGGTATAGTAGCTATGGTATATATACACATTGAACTGATGTGTGTGTGTGTAAGAGACGCTGTTATATGCATATTCTCTATACAGTTATCAATAGTATATTATTCCTGTAAATATACAGATAGTAATATTTTATATTTACTTGTAATTTACTTATAATGTAAATTTAAAACATATATTATATTATATATATACTTATTATTTTAAATAAATATAGGTGAGTATATAAGTATTGTCTAACTAGTTCATATATACTGTATATAATTATATATATGTAATATTATGAGCGTATACATATATATGATTCACCCCCTAAATATATAAATAAATATATACCACTACTATGTATATATATATAGTATATATATACACATATATGTATATATATAGGATAATAATATATTATATGTACAAAGATTGCATTTTCAGATATATAAGACATAAAGCTTAAATGAATTCTTAGCTCTAGTTATTATTATGGATATAGCTATCATATATTTATATATATATATGCATGGTATGTAGTGTCACACACACACACACACACACACACACACACACACAATCACCATCAAACGCACAACAACAAACAAACAGAACACACACACACACACACCACACACACACACACACCAACGACCACAAACACCAACCCACACAACTAGCGTGAGCACACTAACATCACAACCAATTAAAAATACATTGTCTTTATATTATCCTAAGGTAGGTAGGTGATAGTAGTTTATAGGGTTTATATTTTATTATTATATTTGTTTATAATATATAAATGACACCACTTTAAGTAGTAAATGAATTATTTTAATATCATCTAGACAAGTTATATACCATAAGATGTAACATGTGTAGTGGTGTGGTGATAGTGTGTGTGGATGCAGGAGTGATGTTGTGTGTGTGGTGTGTGTGCTGTGTGTTGTGTGTTGATGTGCGTGTGCTCACCCTTACTTTCCAAGAAATCATTTGGTAGGTGTGTTATGTGTGTATGCAAAAAATATAATAAAGGACATAATGTTACTAAATAGATGAATTATATTTTGTATAATATACACGCATTTGCTATTGAATCAAACAGGTAAAGTCAACTTCTCAGATCCATATCAAACACTGTTTCTCCAAAATGTAATTTTAACGAACAACACTATTCATCCTCTATACATATCTACTTACTAGCGTCCATATATCTATCTACCATATACCTACTTCAATGTTTAGATATCTGCTAGACATATCTATCTTATTACTAAATATCGGTTTTGATTTCCCTCCTATTATCCTATTCTCCCTTAGTATAGATATTATCGTGTTGTAATGGTAGAGCCGTTATGCCGTGAAGACGATAGCAATGTCATGTATTTAAGTTATATACCTGTGCGCAGTATATATATGGCTGGACCGTGTTCCACACCTCATATGCACCTATTAAAGTATGATCTTATTGCGATTCGGAGAGTCGTACTGATGCGTTAGTATTTTCAAGTATATGAGTGAGTGAGTCATGATGCGTCCAAATGCAACGAGTGTGATATTATTAAGTATGCGTGCGTGTGCGTGAGCGTGCACCTGCATTGATTATTTATTAAGATGGTGTGCATGTGAGGCGTGAGTAGCGCATATGTGACACGCTTAAGTTATGAAGGTGTGCGTGCGTGAGCGATGCATGCACTGTGTATTTAAGTAAGTTGCGTGATCAAATATATTCTTTTTAAAAAAAATATTCCCCTTTCGTGAGCGTGGCATGTATGTAATTAACTAAATAGCTATTGGCTCTTGCTTGTGTAGCGTGCATGCTAATGTAAACGTAACATGCTAGCGTGCTGTCCCGTACGTGCACAACGACCTGTATTATAAGTGCGTCGATATGAGCGAGTAGAGCTGAGTTATCAGTATTCAACGCTTATGCTCAAACACTTCTC